TTAAATGCTGGGAATTTTGTTCCCTTTGTGATAATAGCACCATCACATATAAAAAAAATAAAATCTTGCCTACTACATTGCATGAGTAAATTGCATAAAACCACCATTTTGAGGACTAGCTTTGCGAAAAACACTATGATACAATTTCTTTACAGAAAACACCACATCTTGCGTAATGGTTTTGCAAAAACCACTGATCGATGGATTTGGTTATGTTAAGTGAGTTTATGACATCTGGGGCCTGTTTTTTGCCTACGTTTGGTCAAGACCGTGTGCAATGACCGGTATCGAGAGACTAATTTCTACAGTAGCAGACCAAGTTTATAGAAATAGTTATTATCAACATTTACAATACCCAACAAATAAGTTGCACAAACACATTTCATGATAATTCTACTGACACTCATTTGGTATTGCAAATATCAATATTTCTTTGTATGCACTTCTTTAAAGTAAAAGAAAACATTTGACTCAAACAAAATCCATATTCCTTGCGAGCCCGAACGGAGCAGTAGTTTTTTTTGCGGGAACGGAGCAGTAGTTAACCCCTGTAGACTTGATGTAATAAAAAAGAAAAGAGAAACAGTGCAGATTTCAGTGTACATGTGAGAAGAGAAGACAAACAATGCCAATCTTTCCGAACGCAGCCTAGGATATTACACATCGACGTGGGTGGATGGGTGGAGCATCCTCTTACAATTTGCTCGAAATCCTCTTATCCCCCTCCACCTCTAGGGGCTTGACATTGACGGCGGACGGGCCTTTTTGGCCGTCTTGAATTTCGAATTCGACACGCTGGCCCTCGGCGAGGGTTTTGAAGCCATGGGATTGGATTGCGCTGAAGTGGACGAAGACGTCCTTGCTGCCGTCGTCGGGGGTGATGAAGCCGAACCCCTTCGATTCGTTGAACCACTTCACCTGCCCAGTAATCTGCATTTTCTCTCAGTATATGTATCTGTAGTCTTTTCTCTGTCTAAATCTCACTCTGTTCGCTGTGGTTGGGGGTGGGGGTCTTGCCAGAGGCAGACTATTATATAGCCGGCGATGAGGCGAGCAAGGCGAGGTGCGGCCGCGTATTTGACTCGGACATCATGTATGATTCGTTTCATGTAGCTGGAGAAGTGGGTGGGTGCATATCAGGATCAAATCGCGGTCGTGCTTTGTTCCTGATTTTCTTGTATGTGGATCGTACTCTATCAGGAAGGACTCCAGTTGTGCTTAACTAATGGAAGCTCGTTTCCTCACCAAAAGATCGCGATCGTGCTTGCACGCGCTGCACTGTCGCGCCGTTCACGTCGCCTAAACGTGCGCGGATGTCCATGCCCGCGCGCACCGACTCGCAAGTCGCAACCACTGCGCGATCACCGCGGGCACGCGACGCGACGAGCCGCCGTCTGCCGCGACACCGCTCGCAGCGCCCGCGCTGCACGCCGCATCGTCGGTCGTCCTGCCTCCGCCGCAAATAGGCCCAGTTGCGTCCCTAGGTCTTTGTTTTTCACCGAATTGGGGCGAATTAGCAGCCGGCGAACCTGAGCTAAACCCAGACAGGTCTTTTCCCGCCGTTTCCCTCCTTTCCCTCCATTTTCTCATTGCTTCCCCCCCTTCTACCCCGCCACTCCTGTCATTCTCCTCCCGCTCCCCG